TTTTTTAATTGATAAGTCTTGGAATGTTGTACTCATAACATTGACTAAAATTGACAGGATAAAGTCAGTACAGCTGATGATGATGATTACCCTCCTGCACCTGAAGGTGGGTACCCTCATATACAGAACCTCCAAGATTCAGATAAGAGAAATATATGGACATACATAGTGGACACTTCATTGAAGGATGCGTAAGTAATCTGAGAACTTCCCTGCTTATCACAATATGTATGCATTATTGGTACAAGATTCATTAATGTATGGCGTGATTGTAATAAGTAGGGAAATTCTTGTTTCTTTTGATGAATCCTAGCATTTTTTGAGTCGTGTAGATTTNGTCCACGCATTGTATCATGGGGGGACAATGAAATAAGTAAGCGCCTACATCTTCTAAACAAGTTAGGAGGCTACAAAAGTGACAAGGTAAATCGGTGTGATATAATCCTTTTTGTATCGTTTATTCAAGGTATCTCAGAATTATATGCTACTAATAACACAATATATTTTGCATTATTGAATTAGGTTAAGTTCTTAGTTCATGTAGTTGATGCGGTGTGCCGTGACCCTCCAGTTGTCAAGGAAGTTATCAAGGAAGGCATCCACTCAGAAGCGGGAGTTCCAATGCAGTTACATAAATAGGTATTGTTCCACACCTGCCGCTAATGTTTGGATTTCAAATGTTGTTTCTTTGTTTAAACGGAAATTTTTTATTTACTTAGGATTTTGAAGCAAGGCTCTTAAGATTAGAGGTGGATCAGGCCACCACCAAGAAATCCATGCATGAGGATTCAATAAAGGTGTATAATGAGCTTGCCGCAATGAAGAATTGGATACAAGAGTTGTCCAAAAAATTGAACGACTTTTGCAACAAATCTAAAGCACAAGTTGATAGTGGTGATAAAGGCGAGGCGATAAAGCTTGTAAAATTTTGTTGTTGTTTGGTGTATTATTTTTTGCATCTTTTTTTTTAATTGATAAGTCTTGGAATGTTGTACTCATAACATTGACTAAAATTGACAGGATAAAGTCAGTACAGCTGATGATGATGATTACCCTCCTGCACCTGAAGGTGGGTACCCTCATATACAGAACCTCCAAGATTCAGATAAGAGAAATATATGGACATACATAGTGGACACTTCATTGAAGGATGCGTAAGTAATCCGAGAACTTCCCTGCTTATCACAATATGTATGCATTATTGGTACAAGATTCATTAATGTATGGCGTGATTGTAATAAGCAGGGAAATTCTTGTTTCTTTTGATGAATCCTAGCATTTTTTGAGTCGTGTAGATTTGCAATCATTACTTGTACCCAATTGGGTGCGTGATTCTGTAAGTGCGTTGCCTATAACTATATTTTTGTATTCAACTATTATGAAGAATGCAAATCTGTCCCAAAATAACACTAACTTGTCACTTCTTCTCCACTTAATAGGTAATAAGTGTGGTGCCTTGTATTATGTCGACCGATGAAAAGATAGACGCCACCATAAAAAAGGAGAGATGGTACTTGCCTACTTGATTCTTGGTAATGTATTTCTACACATACGTTGTGTACTCAATAACTATCTATATCAACGACACGATTCTAATTTATGATTATTGTTGGTAGCAACAAGCAATTCAATTATAGTGGATAGAGAATGGTTGTTTGGATGAGAAATTTCGAGAAGACTATGCCTATTTAATTTGTGACATTATCAAATGTGATAAGGTTTGACACCCTTCTTTAGACTGTTCTCATCTGTCCTATTCATCTTGTTGTATATTTATGTCTTAGTTTATTCATGGTTTACCTTTGTGTTCTAATGTAGATATATATACCTATTAATGATGACAACAGTCATTGGTATTTAAAGGTGGTAGATGTGAATAATAAGGCGGTGATGATTCTTGATACCTTGCGTGATCCTCGTAGGAAACATATCCGACTCTGCCAGTCTTTTAAAACAGTAATTTATGCATACCACGTAAATTTTGTGAAAGGAGTTCCCACAATAGGCTTCATCTAAATTTATTCAAAACATGAACAGGTGAAGGTACTACATCGTCTACTTGCTGAGGAAGCGGATGATTTTGAACACATAGACAAATGGCCTATCAATACACCAAGATGGGTGCCGGTTCAAAGCAATGGATTTGATTGCGGAATGTACGTAATAGAGTTGATCAGAGCACCGTATTTTGGTCAAAAAATCCGTATAAGGGTATTATACTTTGCTGAATTTTATAGTATGTCATATAATGTTCCTTTACAACTAGTACAGAATGAGGTTTTCAACTAGATATTGCAATATTTTCTTGCTATTATAGGAACCTACTACAGATACAAGAAAGGAGTTAGCACTTAGTCTTGTCACACATGTTGACAACATCCACAGGGACATGATAGTTTTTAGGGCGTCAAATGGTTAAGAGTTTTTTTGTGGTTGCTAGATTGTTGGTTCTAAATTTTTGAGGTTGGATTCCAATTTTTGGGTGGGGTCTAACTTTTTTAGGTTGGATTTGAAATTTTTTGCTGATTCTAACTTTTTTTGTTTGTATAGGTTAATTGGATTATGTTACTACTTTTTTTTGAGTTATGTTACTACTTTTTTACATTGATATTAGTTGATTTTTTCCTGGTGAAACCATGATTACACTAGGCCATGTTCTGCATCATCCACTCCTAAGTAGAAGTGGACAGCACAACTCGCAAATTAAGGTCAGGATATAGTTTCACTTGTGAGACTGCTACTTCTCTTCCTTCCACTGTTGTTGACGGATTTTTAGTCTTTTTAGCTGGTTTTTTTTGGCGTAGAAGAAGAGAAGGAGTTGTTGGATGAGTGTAAGCACATCCGTGAGAGAATGCACATATTGCTTGAGAGGATGCAAGTTCAGGTGGCGGTGGTGGATGGTAGTTGTAATCCTCAACATCATAGGGAAAATTTTGGATCATCAAAGAGGGACAAAGCAATGATGGTAGAGTTCAAGGGACAAGAGGACACGTCAATTATCTTCTTCGAACACATTGTAAAAGGTTACAACATGGATCCCCCAAAATTGGTGGTTCTATTTATGATTTTGATGACCTGAGCATGACAAAGTCAAAGGCAATAGATCTGTTGACGATGGAAGAGTCTTGAGCTTCTGTTTTGTCATCAAAGGAAGAGATACACCACAGACAGGTAGAGTATAGGAGGCAGATTTCTATTGCAGGAGCTACTCCGCTAGAAGGTTTGTATTGATTCTTCACTAGTGTACTAGGATGTCATCAAGTCTGGCGTGGCAATTCTTGCACCTAAGTCATTTNATACACCACAGACAGGTAGAGTATAGGAGGCATATTTCTATTGTAGGAGCTACTCCGCTAGAAGGTTTGTATTGATTCTTCACTAGTGTACTAGGATGTCATCAAGTCTGGCGGGGCAATTCTTGCACCTAAGTCATTTTGCTGTAAGTTTTAGTGGCCACTCATTGTATTTTTCTCACATTGCTCGCACCGGTGGGATCAACATTGGTAGCATTCCTTATTCATCAGTGTATATTGATATCTTTTTAAGCAGGTGTTTTTCCTCCGTTTGATCCTATTTCTGACAGTAAAAGTGTTGATTTGTTTGAACTTGAGGCCTCACCCCACCAACATGAGAGTCCTTTGGCTGCTGAAAGCATCAATTCTTCACCACTCCTTATTGGTCAAGATGATCATTCATTAAGTGTTGTTCCGTGGGAGCCATCAAAATTTGAAGGTTCTTATGGAAGTTTCAGTTTCAGAGGCCTTTGGGGAGTTGGCTTTAATCCTTCAAGACAAGCTTGTTACTCTACATGAATCAATGCATTTTAGTGCTCACGAGTTTATGGTCCGTGAAGCAAAAACAACTTTTGTTGCTCTGGGCCAGCTCTTTATTGATTGCAAACTATTCTATAAGAGAGTGGAGGAATTCATTAGCCATGCATCATCACTGGCTGAAATTGACTCATGCATCCGCCATGACCACCTTTCTGATTGAATTTGGTTACAGTGGAAGGAGGGCTTGTTCTTGGTCAGGAGTTGTTTCAACCTCACAAGTGGCTGGGAGTATAAATTATTTTTTAATTAAAATGTTGAGGATATTAGATTGGAGTGCATAGACTGGTTGGTGAGAATGGTTGTTGATTGAGTGTTGGTTGGTAGAAATAGACAAATATAGTAGATATTTTGCATACATGAATACTATTTTGAGTACAATGGTAGTGCATGTCATGGCATAAGTACATAAATGCCCTTATTATCCATTTAAACCATTATATAAGGAGACTTAAATTTGTATGCCTTGACCAGTGGATCTACATCTTTTTCTACTCTCATCTAGGTACATCTTCATCCCTTCCCTTCTACTTCTACATCTCCTCCCTTTTATACTCTCATTTCAAGATCTTCAACTTTTTTACTTTGTTTTTGAACCAGGAAATGACCAAACAACATAAATGGTATGTTGTTTTTAAGGGTAGGGTTGTTGGCATTTACCCATCATGGGAGGAATGCCATCAACATGTTGTAGGGTATATTGGGGTATTGTACAGGAGTTTTGCCTCTTGGGAGGATGCAGAAGTGGCACTTTCCAACTATATTGCTTCTAAGTATGATAATCATCACAAAGCCGGAGGACAGATGCCACATGAAGAACTATGTAACAGGGCACATGTCAACTGCAAATCGAATGAATTTGTATGGTGCATTGTAGGATTGATAATAGGTATTATACTCACTCATATTATATACCACTTTGTCGCACGATTATGAACTAGTTTATGTTTATCCAACACAAAAATGGCCTGCACAATTCTAATTCTTTTTTTAAGAAGAAAGAAATAATCAAAGATTTACAAGCATCAAAAATACAATTTTACACTTTTTTGGCTTTAATCGTTTAAGATGCTTTGAAGGAATTTACGTTACCACCAAGGAGCCCAGACACTTGAAAACATTGAATCCACCCCTCCTGCTATCAACCCAGCCACAGCAGTGCCTACAAAATGACACTATCAAAACTGCCAACCTCCTCTGATCCTTAAAGACCATCGTTCTGCTTGGCAAAGAACCCGCACCAGCAAAATCAAAAGAGCACCCAGCAATAAATCCAGACCTTGTAAAGCATCCAAAATTTGAGACAAAATGCACCATAAAAAATTATAATTGTTTGGTTCCAAAAAATGTATTTTGTTCCACAAAATATATTATTAGCCAAGACTATATAAAATAGACTACAAAACCTCTACTATATTTCATATAGTTGGGAAAGGGCAAACCTTCCTCTTTGGGAACCTAAAACTGTATCCCAGTCCACACTATATACAAAAAAAGTCGGTGTAAATTTTGGAATTTTCCATGTAGTTTAGTAAAAAGAATATGTATCATACCGTAATCCTGAATGATGACCCAAAATTGGAGCACTCATCATCTTCATAACAAAAATTTCCACAATCATGACTATTTGGCTCCCGAGGAGCCCACTACACTAATATCCTCAGTGTAACTTTTGGATTTGCCCAATCCAAACTAATATCTCCACAGGTTTATCATTTTCTGACTTCCATCCTTGTAACGCTGTCGTGCCTTCGCTATAATCATGTCTCTTGGTTCATTGTATACATAGGTAACTAGATTAATTGCTAAGTCCATGCGCATTTGATTTGATTGCTCCTAAAGACAACAGTATATGAAGTGAGTTCACAAATTAAAATGTTAAAACAAATTTAGTTCAGTAAAAAGAAAACGTATTATACCGTAATCCTGAATGATGGACCCAAAATTGGAGCACTCATCATCTTGATAACAAAAATTCCACAATCATGACTATTAGGCTGCCGAGGAGCCCACTGCACTTGAGTTATGGGCCAGTGGATCAATGCTGGCCTATGGTTCGGTCCGACAAGTTCAAGGACTCTGTCTAGTTCTTTAACCACATTCTTGATGGCAATGTATCGATGCTCATTGGGCCACATTGACAGTGAATCGAGTAGCAGAACTTGTTGCTCCACTACATCAACCAAGCATAGATACCAATGTATATTGTTGTCGTTGATGGGTATATATATCTACATTTATACATAAAATAGATTGACGATTATATATATGCATATATTATTGTAGAAACGATCCATCATAAATAGAGCAAAAAATCATTCAAAGAATGGAGCAACTACATACCTTTTCACAGTCCTTGAACTGTGAAATAAAGTACATTTGGAATTCAAGCAACTCAAACGTTTTGTCTTTGTATGTTACACCGAGTGCTTTTTGCTGGGTATTGGAGAGAACTATGATTAGACATTGAGAGTTTAAAATATTTTTAAATTTATAAATGTGAAATGGATCATTACCGAAAACCATGTTGGTAGGTACCACCGTGACTTTTTAGTAAATGGATTAATCTTGACGGACTCAGGAATCAGATATGGTGCCAAATTTAATATCTTCAAGAGGTCAAACAATACAAAATCAAACTTACAACAGTATCATGTTAGCCACAGCATTTTCATATTAGTCAATATTAAAATTATACTAAATAAATGTCTATCTAACTCACAACATCTAGTAGTCATTTTTTTGGTTTTAAGGCTTCAATCATTGCTCCTCTCGACGCATAACAAGTTTCAATGCTCACCAATACCTCACTGTATCATTAAAGAATTAGATTCGTATTTTATAATGATCCAATAATAGAATGTTCAGGAAACAAAATATAGTAGATACCTCATGTCAAGAGGTGTGTCAAATATGTAATTGAAGACAAACAATTTGTCATTAGCAGTTATTTCGTCGATTGGTGGATACTCCACACCTAATGATGCGTTCCATGCAGTACTAGAGTCTGAAATCTGCTTATAAAATACAGAGAATCTAAAGTCTAGTTATAAAATACAAAGAGTTAATAATAATTGGACAGTTGTGTTATGTTAAATATAGAATACAAACCTCATGGATGACCACCGTGGGGGTGTGGTGATTTTGCAAGCCTTGTGTAATTTTGTTAACCTTACTTGCATTTACACTCAGGGTGTGGTGATCCTGCAAGTCTTGTGTAATTTTGTTAGCCTTACTTGCTGTCACACTCTCCTTCTCGACATCCAATAATCCCCCTGCTGCAATTGTTCCTTTATTCTTATTTTCATTTATTTCCTTCTCCTCCTCTTCATCATTAATTCCCTTCTTATCCTCATTGTCATTATCCACATTCTCTTCATTATTTTCATTCACCTTCACATCCTCATTTTGAACATTATCTTCTGTAGATCTATCCATATTCATTAATATCTGATTTTTTAGATACTTCCTCCTTTGAACATTGTGCTTAACAAATTAAAACATAGATTTACGACCAAATAATGGGATTTAATAATAATATGGATGGTATAATGTTGTCACACCATCAAAATGTAGAACGGTGATTTCAAGTATTTCGAAGGCTTCCTTTTCGAAATTCTTTACAAAATCTTTGGGGTGTATTTCAAGTGGGAGCATGAAGCCTGTGGAAGGTCATGTCTGTATACCAACTTGTTTGAAGTTTGTCTGGGTGTATCTTTCAGAGCCTTTATATCTGGTGTTTGAACCATTTGAAGTGAGACCCATGCCCGATTTTCGTGGTCGGATTCATTTGGTGCTTCTTCATCTTCATTGGTTCCTTTATTCTCAAATTTATGTTGGCAGTTGGGACGTTTAAGTTCTGTCATGGCATCCATGATTTTCTACATCATACATGCCATTGAGGCGACTTTGGTAGATAAATTTTCTTGCTCCGCCATAATTTTCTCCAGTGACTTTTCCATGATAGAAAATCTTCGCTCCAATGACTGAAAATAATATAAAATTATATTCTTCAACACAAAATTATAAATATTGTTTCATATATAACATCTATAACACATACATTTGATTTTTCTTCGGTCTAGGCACCAGGTGACACTATGTTTGGTTCAGGTACGCCTACATGACGTGGCACTATGTTTGGTTCNATTTGATTTTTCTTCGGTCTTGGCACCAGGTGACACTATGTTTGGTTCAGGTACGCCTACATGACGTGGCACTATGTNAAGCACCAGGTGACACTATGTTTGGTTCAGGTACGCCTACATGACGTGGCACTATGTTTGGTTCAGGTGCGCCTACAAAAGGTGCTACTATGTTTTGTTCAAGTGGGCATGCAGTGATAGAATGTATTCCAACAATTGGAACCTAAAATAACAATTTTCATCATACAAAATTTATATTCAAATTGAAATACATACATATCATTTAAGTGTTGTAATATGATATCTCTACATGTTTCTTACTTTTAANAATGTATTCCAACAATTGGAACCTAAAATAACAATTTTCATCATACAAAATTTATATTCAAATTGAAATACATACATATCATTTAAGTGTTGTAATATGATATCTCTACATGTTTCCTACTTTTCAATTTTTTAAAGAGTGCCACACCCTCTTTGATTTCCACATCACCCCACTTTTTAATTGGCACAAGGGAAACCCCTTGACGAGTGACATGTTGCAGATAAAAAACCTACAACAAACAACTATTCTCAATTACAAAAACAATTGCAATCACAATATATAAATTTGTTAATATGCCAATTAATCATTTCATTACCTTCAAAATAAGTAAACAACCACTAATGTTATTTTGTTCATTGTCTTATATCGTTACTCTCCCTCTAGGAGGGCATCAAATACCAACTTCACCCAGTTCTTCTCTCTCAAATAACCAACTTCTACCACAGAATGGAGGAATGAATTATTAATGGAGTTCTTTATTGAAGGGCACAGTAGNATTGTCTTATATCGTTACTCTCCCTCTAGGAGGGCATCAAATACCAACTTCACCCAGTTCTTCTCTCTCAAATAACCAACTTCTACCACAGAATGGAGGAATGAATTATTAATGGAGTTCTTTGTTGAAGGGCACAGTAGACATCCAAGTGAAAATAACACAAAGACACGGAGAAAATCGTGTGAATCTTCTTTCATTTCCTGTAATTTTTCGTTCAAATATTTCAAAGAAATATCTTTCATTCCAGTGAACATTGACTTATACAATCCATTTATTTTTTCGGCTGGGCCACTCGTTTCCACGTCTATCCCTCCATATCTCAATCCCAATATATTTTCCACATCCATGGGAGACAACTTAAGGAATTTTCCGTGAATGTTCAAAACACATGATATCGGGTCAAACTGCTCAACCAACCAAGCGCACAAATCTCTTCTCAGTACTTTACATTTGAGCCCTAACAAGCCTCCAAATCCAATATCTTCAATGGCCTTTTTTTGTGCTTCACTTAACCTTGGTATTAGTTTCACGATCATTCTTGGAGAACATCTTGTTCCGAGCTATAATTTCAAACAGTTGTATAAGAAAAAAAAAAAGATAAACCATTTAATATTATGGTTTTGAACCTTTTCTTTTTTGTTAGAGTTCTCTTTACGACTATAACACTCTTCTTTTGATGACTTGGCCATCTCTAAATATTTTTATTTCTCGTCATGTTTCAAATTCTTCCATTGGATGCCAAGTTCTTTCATGGCCTGATGATTGAGTAGCGAAAGGTTGTACATGAGATGAAGACAAACAGTCCTTGGTAAAGTGGAAACAAGCATTAATAAGATCATTGAAATAAAAAATAAAGATCAACATAATATCATTTATATCCCATGATCCAATTTTTTTATTTCCTTCCC